ACAATTAGTGACTATCAGTAGAGAGAGGAAGATATGACATACATTCGGCTGAGAGGCTACAAAAGCCGTGGCCCAGCAGCTCAACTCCGTCATCTTCGACTGGAGATGTTCCTTAGCGATGCTGGTGCTGACTTTGATCTTGTACAAGTCCTCAATGTGCTTCTCCATGACTCTGTCAATGACACCACTGAGGTACCGAAGATCCCATTGGTTCGCCATTAGGGCCTCTTGGAATATTTCGTGCAACATCGTTCCGTACACCAAGGGAGCAGTAGCCTCGCTGGTCGCTTTGACGCGGTCCTGTAATACTGCTCGGCGCATGCAACTAAATGAATCAGCCACGACGGTGGCTGATACCAACTGATCTGGGTGTAGGATCAAGATATTGTGCGAATCGTCAATGATGCATTGGCCACTGGCTGAGAATGTTCCGATAACATGCACATATGCTTTTGCGTGTGCCGGCGTCTCGAACCAATCACCTCGAAGGTGGATCGTGTGCATGGCCTTGCTACCTTCCGCTTGAATGATGAGTATCTGGCCACAGGTCAGCGATTGTTTCAGGATCAACTTGATCAACCTACCTTCTCTAATCGAGAAAGCCCGCGCTCGTCAGTGTACTCGTTTTCTAGGACATTGGTCACCAGATATCGCTGGATAGCTTTGGGCTTTTGGTTTGTCTACCTTCATCTTAGCGTTTGCTACCGTGGTAGTCGTTGATTGGGACGTACAGCTTCCGCCGGCGAGGCTTGTGGCTGCTGGACCGATTGAGTCGCAGCGAGTTCTGCCGCATCGAAGTCGAAGTCTCCTCCAAAGTCGTCTCCAAAGGCATCGTCCAAGTCGTCTTGTCTAGGGACAGGTACACTTGTTGCGCCAAGATGTGATTTTGCAGACGCTGGCAATTGGGATGCTGTCGCTACTGCGCTTTCCAGGATATCCTCGGCAGCCTCAAAAATATCATCGTCCAAGTCACCGAACTCATCGTCCAAGCCAGTGCTGCTCTGCTTGGTGGGTTGCATAGAAACAGGTGCGGGAGTAGGAGTGCTTGGCCTCGCTTCTTGTTTGGAGTTTGATAAACTGATGCTTGCTTCAAGCTCGAGTAAAGTGTCGTCATCAAAATCGTCAAAGTCCTCGAAGTCAACGTCGCCATAGTCAGACTCCGCCGAAGCCGCTTTTGTTTGCTGTTCCAGGCCGAGATCTTGGGCCACGCCGATATCAGAAGGATTTCCCGCAGGCTGGAGGTTCGGGGCTCGAGTTGTTTTCCTCGATGGTGAGAGCGATGGCGGCCTCGATGCGTTAGTCTTCCTCTTCTTAAGAGACGGGGACTCCATATCCTGGTCGATGAACGGATCGAAATCCTCCGGTGGGCTGTCTTCTTGCATGCTTCCCGTAACAGTGTCCAGCAGAGCTGTTACGAGTGAGTTCTTGGAACTATCGGTCGTCTCCCGCGTCAATGTGCTAGTAAATGAGGGCGCATCCGAGCGTTCAACTCTTCTTCTCTTTGGCCAGTTGAGACCGCAACTGATTGCCCTTCGTAGGCTGCTATCGCCTGCCTGTGCAGGTGCCGTCTTGACGTTCCGTGGTGAAGAAGAGAACATGAGATTGGCGAGCGTGGGGTTCGTAAGACCGAGTGGCGTCACATTTCCGTTGCTGCTAAGGGAGAATCGGTCCCAGAGTTCCAAGGTCGGATCTGCATGTGGCGATTTTAGTGCCTCACTCAGCTTCTTCACATTGACAGCAGGCGTGGTGGGCTTTTCGTTCTGTGCGGGGGATGATATGGGTGACGAGCTTCTGGCCCGTTTACGGCCTTTCCTATGCATCATTGGCGAAAGGGCAGCAGCGTAGTTCAGGTCGTTCTTGTCCCTCTCATTGTTCCACAGGATTCGTTCGGTTGGAGATGTTTGTGTTTTTTCTTCCTTGGGAGCGTTCGACGCCATCAGGTCGTGCCAACTCAGCTTCGTCGATGGGGTGATGGCGATATCGTCTCGGGATTGGCGAACCCAATCTTTCACTGCGGTGCCATTTTCCTGCTCGGCAGTCTCTGCCTTGACTCCAGTCTGGAATTGGAACTGATTCAGCTTGCTTTTCGTTTTGTCGGAGACGGGCGCCAAAGGTCGGGATGTTTGGGCATTCACTGGATTGCTCTTCGAACGTTGCCATGAGCGGTTCTATGACAAAGTCAGCAGACATGGCATGGAGGGGTATGTTTTCCTGTTGACCTTTGATGGGAGACCAACATGTTCCGAGTATGACTTCTTGAGAGGCATATCGGCGGGTTTGGCTTCTCGAATGCCAAAAACCAGAGATCGTGAACGTCTTCGCTAGTTCCAATCATGTCAGTGCAAGGGTGCGAAGAGGCAGTTGGGGCCCCTCGAGGAAGTGCTAGAGTGGTTGTCCCTCGACGCGCTTGGGACGCGTTCTAGCTCCACGTTTGTTTAATACGCGTCGCTGCACGTTCCCGGTGATATGTGGGGCATTTGGGAACCTGACGGTGGACGCGCAGGCCATCGCCCCTGCAACGAACAAATCCATCTCTGCTCAGATCGACTTTGCGCCTTGGGCAGGCGCAATTGAAATCACCGCGGGATGTCTTGCATTCGCATATTGTGTGGAGTGGAAGGTAATGTTCCTGTCCGTGTATTTGTACCTGAATTTTCACAGCCGTAACTACTTCGTCTCTAGTAGTACCCTGACTAACGTTCAGATACTTACTCAAGGTTCCCATTCATCCCCGTATTACATACATGTTGGATTGACTTGACAGTCAAATACCTTTGGTGCTCAAAACCTACGATCGCCAACCATATGTGAAGGTATCCTATACGCAACCACAGTGAATCAATCACATAGGCGGCTTGACCACCTTCTCTCCGTTGTATCCTGAAGGTCAATGTCTCTCACTAGATACTGCAAGCATCGACTGCATTGATGCCCCTCTCAGCTTTATTGATACAGAGCATCAGAAAAGAAGAGGAAAGCCCAATTACCAAACTTCACGATACACCGGTGACACGGAATGGCGATGCAGCGCGTGCCCCGGGGTCCCGAAGTCGACATGGAGAAACTCTCTGCCGATAGCCCGGGAAGTTCGGGGTGTTGTCCCCACTCTGCCGATGCAAGTGTGGATCCACTAGAGCTCCAACTGCCCACCTGAGAGCTCTGGCCGACTACGTCAGGACTCTCAAGAACACCAACAGGTGAGCCGCCTCTAGAAGATTGGCCATACCACACCACCACGGACCCCAGCAATCGACCTGACGCCAACTCAATCGTTCGACTCGCTCCGGCCTCTCATAGCTTCGCATCATATCTGTCAGGTCAGTTGAGACCTGGCTGTGAAGCCGATGAGATGGCGTTCCCCACCTCAAACGATGACAATGGCTTCGGCCCAGACATCGTCGGGCCTCCCGACTATCAAATCCCACCACCACAGCTCACACTCCTGCAGCGCCTTCTCTTCCGCAACCCCGATAACTACTCTAATAATGTGAAAGCGATGCTCGACACCGCCGCCGCAGGCATGGGCCGCCAACCCACCCAGGATGAGGTCAACGTCCTCAGCCAACTAGCTTACAAAGAAGCCGCAACTGCGGCATGGACTGTCCCGGTTACCGTTGCGTTAGCCGGTTTCTTGACTTGGCAAACCCGCGGCACCTACCGCTTCCCTTTCTGGCAACCCAAATTTATCAAATTCACTCCCGATGCCTTTCCAAGTGCCTCTAGGCCGCTCCTCCAGGGTCGTCTCGCGAATCGGGCATGGCACAACACGAGATTTACAGCCTACTTCCTCCTCACCAGTCTCGGCATCGCCCCTTTCGTCGCCTCATATGCTACGTCCGTGGCCATGGCATCCGCTGCTCGCGATGAGCGCCTCAATCAGTTCCGCAAGGACATGAAGCCGGAGAGGCTGGTCCAGATGACGGCCGACAAAATGCCAGTCACCGCCTTGAAGCGCCAGCGCCAGCGGACTGCGGAAGCCATCAGTCAACTTGAAAAGTCGCTGGCCGCGTTGCCCCAGTCGGATGAAAAGATTAGGGAAACAACCCCGCTTGTACAGAAAAGAATTGACGAGTATCGGAGGATATTAGCTCACATTGATGCAACCCTCGAGAGGAGAGGCGAAGGCAGCGCTGGAGATGACGGATCAGCGCAGAACAGGGACTACGAAACACTCTCTGCTTCGAGCTCTACGGGGGGTTACAGTCTACCCTCGGAACCCAACTACTCTTCTCCGACAAGCTATTCAAGAGATCCGCCATCTTCCGAAGGCCGATCAGGATGGGGCTCGGGTCAGCAGAGCTCGTCTCCCCAGCGAAGCAGCAGCAGCAGTCACAGACCCTCAGACGACTTGGACTATGACGACGCATCGCCCCTTTCACCCGCCGCGAGAGCCCAGGCATCATCTCCCTCTAGCACCGGCTCAGCGTGGGATCGCCTGCGACAAGCCTCGAGACAGCCGCCGCGAGCTTCTGGGAGTGCCAACCAGAGCCAACAGGACGAGGCTAAGGGTGCCGATTACTATGTGTATGACGCCGCTGAGAAGGAGAGGAATGCGGAGAAGGATAAGGCCCAAGCCGAGTTTGATGCGATGCTTGAGCGTGAAAGAAGAGGTAACGCGGGGCAGGGCAGTGAGCGGAATAGCCGCTGGTGATGTGTACTTCTGTTACAATGGAATGGCACATTCATTATTTGCGGTCGAGGGTGAAGATTGATTGTTGTAAGGTTATCCTCGTGTGTACCTGTATTAATATAAGTGTATTCCGGCCTGTATCATCTCCCAAGGCTCCATCAGGCAACAACTATGCCAGAGGAAGGAGGTGGTATACCATTGATCCACAGACGTCGAATTGTCACCAAGGCCCGTGGCATGGCGGGGAATGTACTCGTTTGAATGGCGCCGCTCCCGTGGGTCACGAGTTCGTGTCTCGTGAAAAATCGCTAGCATCGATACAACTGAGGAATAGTACGTAAAGAGTGAGCCGGGTGGTTTTCGTAGGGCCCCCGTGAGGGAGGCTGAGCTTTTGCATTTTCATCCCTTTTTCTATATGAATTATACATACTTTTTCTTTTTTGCCTTCTTCCTCTGATTCTTTCATTTTTTTGCAATAATACAATCCCCCTTCCGTGCGGTGGTTGAGGGGAGAAGGGGGAAGAGGGCATGGGGGATGTGGTAGGGCGGCGATGCGGAGTGATAACTGGAGATGCGTATCTAGTGAGGAGCGACTGTTTTAAACAACGGCGAAGTTACTGCGGTCAATACCATGAACCGATTGATTCTTGGTGATTACTGTATATCTGTGTGGATTTGACTGTATTCTAAACTCTGTCTGAGTGCTATGTACGGCCCGGTCATATCAAGACTATGCGGGTATTTTTCTTTCGACTATGGCTAATCCTCTTTTGCCATAACTTTTCCCTTCTCCGTGTCTTTTTACTGATCCCTTTTTCTCAACTATCAAAACTCCTCAGAAATCTTTCTTTCTATATTTCCAACCCTCAAAAAGTAAAATGCGTCGGCCGCCAAAAGCTCGGATCCCACCGATGCCACGCCGCCGTCTTGGGCGGCGTCTTACTCCACCACTCCCGGAACTGCGGCGCGCCAACCTCGTCCCCGAACCGCTGCGCAAGCCTCGGCATAAAGGTGCTCATCGACATCCCCGGCGTCAGCAACCCGTCGTCCGTCTCAGCGAAACTGAAATGCGACGCTCGCGCCCTCCAACCCCTCTTCGCCGCCGCCGCCGCCACGGACGCCGCGACCTCGTCCTGCTCCGCCTCGCCCGGGACGGTAGTAGCAAACTCAGCCACGGCGCCCGCGAGCCCGACGTAAAACGAGTCCGATGCGTCAGACGCTTTCGCCAGAGAGAAAACCCGGCTCGTCGACGACCGGGCCGCGTCCCGGAAGGGCATGATGTGGAAGCGGTAGTTGGGACGGTAGTAATCCCGCCGAGAGTACTCGTGCCAGACGCAGGCCCTCCCGCGCGGGTGATCGCAACCGACACCGCGCATGCTCAGGGAGCGGCTGCTAGTGCCCCGCAGAGGGTCCGGGAACGGCGTGCCGGACCAGCACGGCAGGGCGGCGGAGTGGTGGTAGGATTTGGACCACCGGAAATCAAATACTTTGAGGGCCTCGAGCTCGTTGCTGCCCGCGACAAAGTGGTCCGAGCCGTAGGTCAGCAGCGACGAGTGCGTCTCAAAGGGCTGGTACATGTCGCGGTAGAGGACGTCGTAGGGAGACGGGGTGCGGATGTCGAGGAGGCGGATGGTGCCGTCGTCCCAGGCGCTGAGGAGGAGGTTCGTGTGGCTTGCGCCTGTGGGGCTCGAGTTGACGGGCTGGATGGCGCGGACGGTCTGTCTCTTGTCTGTGTCGATACCGCGGGAGGCGAGGAGAGAATTGTTCTTGGAGGCGAGGTTGGGGGTGAAGCCTGAGGGGGTGACGGTGAGGTAGCGGATCGGGTCCGTGTCATTGGAGAGGGCGCAGACGATGGTGTCGTTGTTGAGGGCCTTTGCCGAGTGGATGAACTGCTTCTTGTCCCCTTGGCCTGGGACGTCAAAGGTCTGCGAATCGAGCGGGACGGTGGTGGCGGCGCCGGTCTCGTCTGCGTCCAAGGAGAAGAGACTGACGATGGCGCGGTTGCCTGCGATCACTGACGTCTGGTTCGGTAAGGTATCAATGGACCCGATAGACGTCCACGTAGTAGCCTCGAGACCTCCGGTGGGCGTAGGAATCTTAAAGGTCGAGAGGGCCTTGCCGGCGCTACCAGGGGCCGACGAGACGAGCTGCAAATCCCCATTCGCCCTGCCGACGAGGATGCCTAGCTTCCCGTTGGGCTCGGTCAGGTGAATGGCGGTGACGTCGCCCACGCCCGCATCGTAGCCGTTCGTCTTGCCCTCCATACGGAACCAGGCGTCGGACTCGCCGCGACTGTTGTGAGGCCTGAAGCGGCCCACGACGTCCTCGCCAGCGCCCCACGTGGCAAGCTCCCAGCTCTTGTCAAAGACGAGGCGAGCATCGATGACAGGGTAGAAGGGACGGCCGGCGTTAGTGAAGCCCGTGAAGTAGTTTCCGTCCCGGCGGCGGTCGTCCGTGTAGGCGGTGGTCTGGAAGGCCTTCATGTCCCATGCGCGGGCCTGGCGGGTGAGGGTGTTTGCCAGCTCATTCCATTTGGGCGGAGTCTTGCCTTGTGGCAGGGAGTGCAGGGGAAAGCAGGTCCTGACGAAGGTGCGCCAGCCGTTCTCGTTGAGGAGGGAGTGGAGATGCTTACACGACGATGCTAGGCGCGCTACGTCGCGTGCGGTACTGAGATGGGAGACGATCTCCAAGACGATGTCGTCTGGGAGTTGGTCAAACATTTTCTTCTTTGGGTTTCAAGAGTCTCTTCTGGGGACTCTGTTTATTTGGCTTGATGCTTGGTATCTGAGTGACATGGAGTGTAAGAGGGATGCCAATCGAGATATGATGAGAAGGGGATAGGCTGTGAAAGAGGGGGTTGGTGTCGAGATATCCGTACTGACGAGTGAGATGTGTATGTGATGGATGTGAAAGGTGACAAGGGAGTTGACAAAGTCTTCTAGCTAAGGTATTACCGTGTTGGCAATTTTGTGAAGCAACTTGTACAAGAAACCTAGTGCCAGACCATGTATTCTTCCTGTATAGATATATCAAAAGTCTTTCCTCAAATCCTGGGGATGGCAACAGCCGAAAGCTATTGAAAGAGATGTAAGAGATTGGTTGACGTTGAAGTTGTCAGCCAGTTCCACATACAAAGTACAAAAGAGTCACAATGACCAGGCACCGTGCAGTGGCAGCCTGGGATCAGACCCAGTTAGGATTGGTCGGCTTTGTCTATGACACAGAGGCACCCGGTAGTTGCATGTAAAGCGGCTACAGCGACCGTTAAGCTCAGGGCGTGCGTTTAGAGCTGATCCAGGTACCTTTACCACACCCCATCAACACACCTGGTCCGAGTTTATGAGACACAAAGTGACGAATGCAGATGACCCCGCTGTTAGTGCAGGTCAATGACAACTCAGACCAACTCCAAGATAACACTGGCGAGGGGAGTGATAAGCTCGACGATAACAACCACTTTGACTTCCTCTAGACTGCTGATGTGTCGGGCGTAGGGCGTACTTGTCACTCGAGGCCCAGTTGCCAAACACCTGAGTGAATGCTGCTGTTGACTTAAAATTTGGGCTTGGTCAACCTCAACACCTCGTCTCAATAGACGAAGGAGTCCAACTTCTCGACTTACACGAAAGAGCCAGAGCTGGACCGCCAAGTCGCACGGGAAACCAACTCACCCCTTGAACATATGAAGGAAAACATACCAGCAAGCTTCACTTATCAACATGGGCTTTAACCTGGTAACCGTTGCAATTGCAAGCGCAGCAGCATGGCTACTCTACACCCTCATCCTACAACCTCTCTTCCTCTCCCCCCTGTCCAAGATCCCGGCTCCACACTGGTCATGTCACATCTCCCCCCTCTGGATCTTATACACGCGGAAATCCAACCGCCAGAACCGCACCCTCCACGCAGCACACTTCAAGCTCGGTCCCGTCGTGCGCATCGGGCCCAACGAGCTCAGTGTCGACGGCTACGATGCCCTCAAGACGGTGTACCAGGGCGGCTTCGAGAAGGACCAGTGGTACTCCATCTTTAACAACTACGGGTGAGTCTACTTACCAGCGATCATGGGATATCTCAGTCACAAGAGAGGGCTTTCTGTTGCTGAACTGTTTTCATAGCGTCCCAAACATGTTCTCAACACTCTCCTCAAAACCTCACTCCCTCCGCAAACGCATGGTCTCAAACGCCTACGCCAAATCCTTCATCCACGCCTCGGAGCCAGCAAAAGCCCAAGCCCGCGCCATCCTCTTCGGCCGTCTCCTCCCCTTACTCTCCGCCTCATCATTTAGAGACGTCAAGAGCACCAGCACCAGAAACCCCGGACCCTCACCCTCACCCTCGCTCTCCCCCGGCGCCGGCATCGACGTCTTCTCCACCTTCCTCGCCTCCACAATGGACTTCATCACAGCCTACACCTTCGGCCTCCGCAACAGCACAGATTTCCTCCGCCAAAAGGCCTACAGGAACCACTGGCTGCAACTCTACCTCGCGCGCGCGAGCCACGGCTTCTGGCCGCAGGAGACCCCACGGCTGAACGCGCTCGTCACCCGGCTGGGGATGGGCTGGTGGAAGCTGTACCCGTCGTGGGTGGACGACGCCAACGCCGAGATTTGGGCTTGGAACTGGCGGCTTTGCGAGGGGGCGAGGAAGTATGTTCGTGGTCATCAGACGGAGGGAGCTGCTACTGCAGAAAAAGAAGACGGTCGAGAAGACAAAAGAGACGTGGCGGACGAACCAGTCGTCCTCTGCGCAATGGAAGCCGGCATCGAGAAAGAGCGCCGCGTAAACGGGAAAGACTCCATCCTCTACCCGACGACAATCCTCCAACAGAACGAATCCGTCGCCTCGGAAATCCTAGACCAGGTCCTAGCAGGTCAGGAGACGGCGGGAATAGCACTCACCTACCTCGCCTGGCACCTCTCCCGGTCCCCAGACCTCCAAACCTCCCTCCGCCAAGAACTCCTCACCCTCTCGCCAGATCTCAAAATGGCGCCAGTAGCAACAGACGCTACAGCTTCATTACCCGCCTCCCTCCCCGACCCAAAACATGTCGACGCCCTTCCCCTACTCCACGCAGTCACAATGGAGACCCTCCGCCTCCACGCCCCGATCCCCGGCCCGGAACCCCGCCAGACCCCACACTCGCACCCGCCCTGCCGGCTCGGCGACTTTCACGTCCCCGGCGGCGTCCGCGTCGCAGCGCTGGGGTACACCCTCCACCGCAACGCCGACGTCTTCCCGGACCCGGAGGTGTGGGATCACACCCGCTGGCTCGCGTCGTGCACCACCGAGGCGCAGCGGAGGGAGATGTTGCGGTACTTCTGGGCTTTCGGGAGCGGGGGGAGGATGTGCGTTGGGTCGAATTTTGCAATGAATGGTGAGTTTTCCCCCTTCCCCCGCGGCTATCAAATTTGTTTTCACGACAGAGAAATTTTGCTTTTACTGACTTGAACACGCTGTCTCTTCCCGTCTCTACAGAGATGAAACTCATAGTCGCAGCAATCTGGACGAATTTCACGACGCATGTGGTTGATGATACGGGTATCGAGCAGGACGATACATACACGGCGCGGCCCGTCGGCGAGCGCTTGATTCTACGGTTTGAACATGTAGAGTAAGAAAAGTGTTGGAAACGGTGGTTTAAGATCTAATGACGCAACTTTTCCGAATTGCTGGTTGATTCCGAGGGAGCACTAATGGAAAGAGGTTTTCCGAAAAAGAAAAAAGGTCCGACTTTGCCTGTCGTTGATCTCCTCAAGTCGCTTATATCGTAAATCCTGAGTAGGCAGGGCTGGTATGTTCCCGAGGCGAGTTATTCATTCTCGAGAACGCCTTGAAAAAACACTAGTATCCTTTCTCCGGACACTAAGATATTTACGAATCAACGCAGATGTGTGCCTAGCCTGAGATGAAGAGCCACCGGCCTGGAGCATAGTGTATACCTTATGTAAAGAAACCCACTGGAGGAAATGATTTATGCTTTCATCAGGCTTCAGCGAATTCATCAGGCCCGAAGTGAGAGGGACAAAATCTCAGTATCTGAGGATAAAAAATGAAGTGACGCTTGATTGAGGTATTTCTATTTCTATGCTACACGTACGTAGTAGATTAGTTCAGATCTCGAGACTCAGCACCAAGCCAACATTCCAGAGACAGCAATTCCCTCCACAGACCACAATCACAAGCACACAAACTGCATTATTATATCACACCTACGCATCTACTCACCGTTAACAACACGTCGCATCTTCCACACGGGACTCGTAGAGGTGCGCAAGGCAAGTGCCTCATCCCATGTGTCGATCATGTTGCTTTTCATATCAGGAGCTACGCTTCCTCAGTCTTATATCATTACCTTGGGAAACACTTGACAACATCACGCACCAGGCTATGTATGTGATCATCCACAAGCCGACGCGGAAGGCGAGGCTGTCCTTCCATCGGAAAGAGACAACAAACGCAGTATCAAATTGCTACCTACTCAACAAAACGCTGCAGAGCCATACGGCAAAGTTAGGGAACGTAGAAGTATAGTTGGATGACCCGAAAACCATCAAACCGAAGGAAAAAAATTACGCCAACAGAATGCCGGTCTAGTGCTGTTTTTTTTGCATCATGACACGCCAATCACTCACTCTCGTACCGGCCACTCTGCAACGTTTTATGCCGCTTCACCTCCGGTTTGCTTCACATCAACAGGTTCGATGTCAGCACCCTTCTCAAGAGTCGCCTCGACCACAGGCTCGCCGGCAGTGTTGGCCGCCAGGGTCTTAACAACCTCCTCCGGCGCCTCGGCCTCATCTTTAGCTCCCACAGGCGTAGGAGCCTCAGCCTCAGCCACTTCCGCGGTCTCTGCAGCAGGTTCCGTAGTGGCGGGCACCTCGGGCGCTTCTGTCTCGGCCGAGACGTCAGGCTTGATCTCCTTTGTCTCTGCAACTGTGCTGGCGACCTCGGGAATTGTTTCCTTCGTGGCTTCCTCTTTGGAACCGTCGTCAACTTCCAGAACACCACTGTCGCCAATGCTCCAACAGATTCTGAGAGGAGAGAACGAGAGTGTAGGACCGGACTTGGCCTCAGCGGCTGCGGGAGCTGGGCTCTTCGCCGCCGGAGCCCTACGCTGGGGGCCACGAGCACGACCTTTCCTAGCATCAGAGAGGGGCGCCTTTTCCTTCTCCTCGGCAACATCCGCCGCGGAGGGTTCTTCCTTCTTCGGTGCTGTAGGTCCCAACTGAAGACGCTTGTTCAGGTCAGATAGGAAACCAGCCTGGAGCGCTGCGATCTTGCCTCCGGCAGGTTTGCCAGGAATAGCTGGCTTCTGCTTGGGAGCAGAGTCTTGTTCCTTAGAGTCGACGCCGGAAGGAAGGGTCTTGGTAGGGCGAGCAGGAATTTGAGGTTTTGACTTCTCTGAGACAGCCGGCTTGGCCTTGTCCTCGCTTGTCGAGTTCTGCTTTCTTGGCCGCTCAGGAATGGAAGGTGGTTCCGCGGTGGCGCTCGATTGTGAGCCCTTCTTCTGCGGGCGTGCTGGGACAAATGGCTTTTCCACCGGGGACTCGTCCTTTGGCTCGGGTGTGTCCACTATAGCCTCGTGCATGGCGCTTTCTGGTGTATCCTCCCAGACATCGCGACTGGGAAACCGGTTCGCCATGGCTGGGCGGGCCTCTTCCTTGGCCTTCTGGAGGGCGGCAGGCACTGGCTTCAACTGCTTCGCATCCACCCCACGACCTTCCTGCTCTGCGAGTTCTTCTTGCCTGCGAGCAAACTCCAAGGCGGGGTTCTCTGTGGGAAGTTCGGAACGGCGTCTGGAGGAAGGTCGTTCTGATTCTGTGGGTTCCGGGGTCGAAACTTCGGCGGTGTAGTTGACGCTGTCGGGGGCGTCCTCCCAGACGTCCTTGCTTGGGAACTTGTGGCGAGGCTTCGAGCTGGCTGCCTCGGCCTCGGACTTCTTGGCCTCCGGACGCTCCTCGTCGAAGAGTGGCTCGTACTCTTCAACGTCCTCAAGTGGGGTGTGTACCAGATCAGTTTGTGACTGGTTGTTGTTGTAAATACTAGTGGGTCGACTTGTGGGACGGTTCGGCTTCTCCATCTCAAAGGCACTGCCGGAGCGCTCTGGTGGGGGCTCGACAGCGGGCTGGAGGTCGTACGGATGTACATCTCCTCCAGACTCGTCTTCGGCCAGAATTGGCGCATTGTACTTGTTCTCGTGTCCAGGGTCGTGCGACACAAAACTCCTGCGGCGGTTATGAGATTCGTCGACATGGACGGTACCGTCATCGCTTCCGGTGGCATTGTCCGGAGAAGACACAGAGACCTGAGGATGAGAATCCCTCGAAGGACTTTGAGGAGACTTGATGCGCTGAAGTTCAGGGGAGGAGATGCGAGAGGTGTACTCTGCAGAAGCCTGGTATCCCACCTCCTCGCTGGGAGTGCCAACATATGAAGCGGAGGTACCTGTTCAAATTAATAACTGTCTTTACACTTGCGATTGTGACTGCACGACTTACCCATGCCAGAACCACGACTGTGGGTCTCCTTGACAATCTTATTCAGATCCGTGCTACTCATGGCGTAGTCGTTTTGGCGGTCGTGGAGAGAAGGCTTGCAGTCCTTCTTCAGGAAATCGGGGTGCTTGTCGTACCAGGCCTTCTCAAACTTGTCGGTTGGCAAAGCTGAGCTGTGGCCATGAAGACCGTAGCTGCCAGGAGGGAGCTCATTGAAACCACGCGAGCTGTGCTTGCGGGAGTGGTTTCGCGGAGTCCCCGATCTCAGGCTCTCAGGAGGAGCGCCAGAGCCAGGAGCAGGAGACGGAGCCTGGACGTCACCCAAGTTGGGGTTCATGGGAACACGCTGGCCAATCTCGGGGATGCCATGCTCCTCATCGCCGTAGGCACTCTCTGACTTTTGAGACAGGGCACTTGAGCTTGCCTTCTTCCTGAGACTGCTGGGTCTGGTATCGTCACTGCTGGGCTTGCCAATGCCATAGGAGGCGGCCTTATCCGAATCGGTACGAGTGACTGCCATGACTCTCTGTTTGGCACTCTGAGCGGGAACAGTGGGCTTGGGAGCGTGAAGCTTGAGATCTTCCGCAGCAAAGCGAGTGTGCTCAGGAGATGAAGGTGCCTTGGGGGGTGGCTTGACAAATCCATCATTGATGGCATCGTATTCGTTGCCCTCCTCACCAACGGAAGGCATAGACACGCTACCGGGGCGGTGATGGATGGGATCGTGCGAAGAGAGGAAGCCGTTACTCGGCGAGGAACGAGTAGCCTTGGGGCTCTTGGAAAAGGGGCTCTCGTTCAATGGAGAGGGCGCATATCGATCGGGATTCGGGGAGACGGAGCGGTCGAAACGCTTGATGGGACGAGGAGGAATCTTGGGAAGAGACGAGGTGTTGGTGTTCTCCTCCTTATCCTGACTCCTGGAAGGTCGAGGAGGGATGACCGGTTGTTGTACTGATGCGGTAGACATTTTGGCTGTGTGGTTTGTTCGAATACGTTGAAATAGAAATAGAACGACTCGCAGTCGAGTTGAAGATGATCGGGGGTGCTGCTGTGTGTAGTAGTCGGGGGAGGACGAAAGCTTTCGGTCTACGCGCAACTAAGAGGGCGCAAAAAAGTAGTAGGAAGCCTGGAGAGCGCAGAAGCTGCAATTAGTACATTGATTCGAGGCGGTGTGTCAAAGCAAAGAGCAGAACGTGCTCCCTTCCCCCTTGTTCAGGCGGTTGGTGTGTATTCTGTGGCCGCCTTGTTTTCTAGTGTGGGTGGCAGCTGAAGGCGAGATAACGAGACTGGAGAAAGTGGGATAAGGTGAATTGAACAAGCAAAACAAGCCAGGCAGGGGCGGGGAGACAAGACAAGACAAGCACCGGATGGACGACCGGAAGAACGCAGACTTGCTGGGAACAGCAGGTTTGAGCTTTGACGCTCAATCTTTGTTGATAAGGTAAGTGATTTCCCGATGATAAGACGGTGTCATATCACGAGTAAGGTAAGGTACACGAGGGAGGCTTTTGAACCACAAGCAGGTAAAAGCCTCCAGAGAGCTCCATTACAGGAGACTCGCACACACCGAAAGATGGTGATAGCTGAGTCCGCCCCGGCTGAAAAGCGCAAGGTGGGCCTGCCTGCCCTGTCCTTCCCCAACACCTGCAGCAAGCAGGGCGATGGTTATGGTTTTGGTGGTGGTGTGCTGACAATGTGCAGCAAAGCATTGGACGACCACTTGGAGGAGGAAGAGGAGGGTTGTGTGGGCGGAGGAGTACGGTTACCGGTAGTAGCAGCAAACCAAGCTCAGCAAACCGGGGGAAGGGTTGTTGCCGTATGGTGCGGGAGAGGGAGGGAGGGAAATCGGGTGGGAAACCAACAATGACGAGTGCGGTCTGGCAGGGCGGAGTCCACTTACAGCAAAAGGTGAGAGATAAGAGATAAGGTGGGCTGAGGTGGTGGGAGTGAGACGAAACCTCGAGAAACTGGTTCGTGATGCTGTGTGTAATTGGTGTTATTGTAACACTCGCGAGGTGAAGAGCAAGTGGACGATGGTGAGAGAGTTGATTTGTATGCTGAGTAAACGCATTGAACAGATGATATGACGAGCAGATCCAGGGGGGCAGCAAGCAGGAGAAAGTCACCTTGACCCTTGAGCTTTTATATTCTGGCTTGACGAAACCAGCTGGTTCGGTGACGGCGCTGCTGCCCTCTCTTAGCCAGTCACGAGCGACGTATTCCATGGCACAAAAGCAGGGATGCTCGATGCCGGTGCAGCGGGAAAAGCAGAAGAACATGTACACGAGTACCTCGAGTACCTGACCGTGGAGTTGACGCTGTGCCGGCGATGCGCACCTGGTGGCACTCTTTGCATTGAAATCTGCAGGTTTGAGGGCTTGCTGTCATACAGTAAGTCTCTTGAGGGAGTTGGCACGGTGCTGAATGATCTGTTTTTGGGGAATCCACAGTACCCCGCCATTTGCCCACTAATGCATCATACGGCATGCGCTGGAGACTGAGGTGCTCACCTCGATTTTGTACTTCGCAGTGTAAGTTGCCATAATCAAAGTCAAAGTCTTTTTTCTCTCCTTCCGATGAGGTCGTGTACTTGGACGAAATGTACGAATACCTGCCTCCCATCCAGCAAGGTACCTTCTCTCCTTTTCAACGTCAGGGGACGACCTTCTTCTCAATGATACGAACGGCAAGCTAATTGTTACGGAGTACCTACCTACCTACTTACTTTATGGACCAGACAAAGCAACATCGCGTCCAGGAAGCGGCTAGCTGATATGAGCAAGAGGTGAGTTGTTCTTTTCTGTTGACTCGCTTTGTTGGCTGTTACTTTCAGACAGGAACAAGTTCAATAGACAGACCCAGGGCCAACGGGAGGAAAGTTGACCATGAAACTCTCCATCATCCCACCCCCAATCGATCGATCGAACCAAGTACCTTTCCAATCCACATCCACGTCTATTCTTATTGACGCTGCCACTCTGAGCGAGGCGTCAGAGGCTCAATTGAGTGTGACAATCCCAGCACAGCACAGCACCAATTGCAACCAAACTAGTCTAAAGACCTGATTGACATTCAACGACTCGCCAAATTCGCTGGCCGTCCACGAACCCGCTTCCAAGGATTCCGAGGCACTCAACTACAAATAGCACCAAAAGACGGGGAAGGGGAAAACACAAAAAAAGGGCACTGTGACTGTGGATTCCCTCGGCCGTCACCTGCCAGCGCCTCGACCAGATCAAACGTGCTCTGCTTCCCATTTGTGTGTGCTCGCGTCAGCGTCGAAATCTAGAATCAGCAACGCGAAACCCATCCCGTCCCGAGTCACCTGCGCCCTGGGAATGCCCGGCTGGGACACGGGGGGTTCCTTCGTTCCAGTCTTCCAACAGACACGACTTGGCGCAACGTTCTCGCACATCCGGCCATCTTGCATTCTTCTTCACCACGTTCTAATTTCAGAGTCACTCTCTGTACGACCTGGGACCACACACATCAAAATCAACAACATTGCTTCCCCTGGCTGCTCAAACGTCCAAAGGCAACAAAGACATGGCCAGCTTCCCGTCCTCTTGACAAGTCGACCCTGGACTCATCCAGCGGCGGGCAGGGCAGCCGATCCCAGGATACCCACCGTGGCCCTCGCCCATAGTGGGCGGCATCTCCACAGGGCGTCGTTTGGTCCAAGGTCGAGCCCGCCTGCGCCCCAATCGAAACTGTCCACTGAGAAAAGTTCGAAAAGTCACCCGCTGACCATGGCCACCGACCCCCCAGACGTCCAGCCTCAGGCGGGCCAGACCCGGGGCATGGGCGGTCCCGAGAGCAGGTACCTTCTCAATTTCGTCAAGTACCTTTGCCAGGAACCGGATGCGTGAACCGGGAAGAGAGGCCCAGCGAGATACCTGGACCTTACCGGATCATATTGCGTCTTTGGCTACCAGCACAACAAGTCTACAGTGCGCCTCGACTCGCCCTGAAAGCCTTTGACCTCTTCCCGCCCCCGAAAGTCCAGTATCATTGTCTTCCAAGACCAGCCCCACCATCCAGACCACGAGATGCTGCAAGCTCTGCATGGAAAGGGCACCGGCCTGCAGCTGGCCAGACGACGGTGTCTCGTCCGTTTGGATCTCGATACAACATTTCCCACACAAACACATGCCCAAGAGAAGGAGCCGTTTTGAACAACCCTGCCATTGGAGCATCGTCATCCCTCGCTGGACTCTCTCTGAGTCTCTCTGTTCAGTCTGCGGTTCCTATACTAGCTTACCCTGTATTACACCACACGGTTATTCTCTGGAATACGTACTTATCCTTCACCGCAACAACCAGCGACATGATCCATTTAATTGGATTTTCCGGCTTTTCGGACTGTGACTGCGGGCGCTTCTCCAGGACCATCAGTTGGATCTAAACGGCACCGCCTCTCGGGCTTCCATCTCTGGCAACTCGGGAGCATCTGGACGGGCGCCGGAGCGCATGCGGGCATGCTCGAGGGATTTTCTCGGGGCGGCATTTCTCAATTGCCTTGGTCCTCGCGCCATGAACAAATGCCTCTCCTACAGTTGTTTGAACATTGAGAGCCGGCTTGTGTCGGAAGCTGTCTCCGACGGCCTCTGACGGCCGCTGTCATGGTCTTGGCTCCCTCCCACCGTTCGCGCTCAGCCCGGCTCTTTTTTCCAAACGGCCAGAACGCTCCCTTTTCCGTCAGAATTACGGATGGCTTTCAACTGACGACATCCAAGTGGAGGTCATTCAGTCGCAGAGAATTGGAACCAGCGCAGACGGCTCCGTTATCTAGCAATGCACTGTCAGTATCAACCGTCAACTGGAGACGGGAAGAGCCCCATTATTTGACGATCGATCCACGAGTGTCCCTGGAAAATGCCCCATCACCTGGCTGGCTTTCTTCGGATGATGACAGTTGCTGGAACACCCTGGGCTAGAGGCGGGACCGGGAAACCGATCGTCTCAAAACAAGCTCCAAGCAAAGATGATTCCCGAGGTTTCTTCGAAAATTCGAAGGAAAAAAAAAGTTGAGCTGGCCAGGCCGAAAATCCCACTCCTTATGCCAGCTTCACCTGAGGTTCTTCTGGATAAGCAAATCCTTCCTTCATCTTGCAGGACCCTTGTGGGGAGGAAAACGGGGAAACAAATCGTCACCGTCGATCAGGATCAGAAGCTCTGTTCAGCTTTCTTGCATCTTCACTGTGCCGTTGGTTCATTCAGGGCTGGGCCACGGCTTTTTAGCAGCTACGTCTTCCTACGGCGCTCGCTGTGGCTAAATGACGCCATGGAGTGCGTTGCTGTCCTCAACGTCTTGGTCTTTACCCATTGAACCTGTTCGCAAGTTCATTGCTGTTAATACGCTGGGGAATGATATAAGGGACCTCGACTTTTGGTAAACACCCTTTGCCATAACCCAATTGCCAATTACGCCAGCTTTTTCATCTTTCGGCGTCGTACGGATGGATGCTGGTATCTCCAACAAAACGCCCTCTTCTCCAAAAAATGAAGAGTCAGAGAGTCTATACTCGATAGCACGGCGGGTATCCACAAAGCTAACCGTTCGCCATGTTAGACTCCCCGTGCAGAAAAAGATGACGAGGCATACGTCAATATCCGGGGTTTCACAGGATTCAGAAGCAGAGCAAGAAAAAAAAACCTTGAGCGTTCAACTCACTTTAGGTAGTTCGCGACTAGAACATGAGGGGCAGATTATTCCGGCCATGCCCCCCCCCCCCTCCCGCTTCATCATGAACTATCTAGCTCGTCCAATTGGGTAAACCCCCCAAACGGCGGTCATGGTTCATGGTCACGCTTCACGATGTGCGTGATGTCCCTCTGCATGAGAGGTAGCTCTTTGCCGCTTACCTTAGTTTCGAGGCCTGCGCACTATTACCCGGCTGGCTCCCCTACCCCCGCCACCGGCACCACTAGTGCCCTTTTTTTCCGATCGTCACCGTTGACTTGCTTCGCAAGCTAGCTGTGGTTCGAGCTATGGCGACTGAACAAGAACAATGCTTGGAAGCTTGCGCAACATCACTTGTCAAGCGTGAGCTGGCAAGCTTGATGCCGATCCTCTTCTGCCGTACTCCGGTCTGAAGCGGTACATGTGCATGGAGGCAGTCGGACGACTCGATTCTATTCAATGCGCACAAGAATGAACCATCAAAAGTTTTAAAAAAGGTCCGAAACAGAAAATCCAGTGCAATGAAGAAAGCTATCATAACCTCCGGAGCTTCTAAGAACCAAAAGCGCAATCCGAAGTCGTACACGCAAAGCCTGAGCTTGTCCCGGGACGCCGAGTTTCCTTTCCGAATATGCCGGTCGTTGCATATCAAAACACACCAGTCTCTGCGTTGCCCTCTGCAACCTCTCATGACACATTGCGCTTCATGCGCCAATTGGCTTATCACGGAGCCTCGATACTCGCAATTGTATACACTCCACAATCCTTTCGTCCCCCCATTTTGTTTGTGCTTCCAGGCACTGGATATCATTGATGTTGCCTATACTTGTTCAGCTGTCGTCACAGCCGCCGGCGCTCCTTCGGCCGGCGCTGCTGACTTGGGCGCCTCGTCGCCCCGACATTCTAATTGCTGATTCTTCTCCTAGACAATCATCTGGGCAACGCCCTGGCCACCAAGGGTCTTGCTGCCGACAAAGGCCTGGCCCTTGACGGCGGCGAGAAGGTAGCAGATGGCCGTCAGCGACAGGAACACACCAGCGGCGATCAGACTGCTGGTGACAATGATGGTGCTGAGGAACTGAATGACAGCCATGCCGGCGTAGGCTCCGGCGCGCATGTAGTTGGTCGAGATCTTGCGGATGAAGCCATCGAACGTGGCCGAGGTAGGGCAGATTCGGAGCAACAGAGGCACCTCAATGAAGAGGATCACCAGCGCAGAGGCCCTAAAGGTTTACGTTAGAACGGAGCTCCGGCAGCAAGCAGAGGGGGCGCAGGGAGTCTTACAAGGCGAGCGCGCAGAAGATGATGAGAAGGAGATGGATGGTGAAGATGTTGGCGATGCCCAGTGCTAAGCACAAAATCATCGACAAGACACCCAGCCTGCATTGATTCTCGAGTCAGCCATTATGCCTCCCAAAAGTGTATCGCGCCGAAACAAGCTCCCATGGAGACGATTTCCGCAATCGCAGTCTTTCATGGAAGGTATTCATCTCGGGTCGTGTCCCCGCGGACAGGCGATCGAAGGGTGATCATCGCGCGAGGGAGCGAGGGATGATGAGCTGAGCAGGGGAGCTCTTACCATTGGCCGTAAATGCCTGTGGTGACGGGTTAGCATCAAGTTCAAAGTGCGGAAGACAGCGGCTTGCGCGCAAGACCATTTCGAAAGTAAACATACTGAAGTTTCTGGTCGCGAACTCCTCCTTGAGCGTCATCTTGGCGGTATTGTGATGTGGTTTGCGGTGGTAACGTTTTTCTTTTTAGGTTGGCGTACGTGGACTTTCTGAGCTATTGTGGAGATGGTCCGAATTCCAGCTCACGGAGATGGGATCGACAGCACGGGAGCAAAGGGAGATCGGATTGTGGTAGGATCGGTGAATTGATTGTCTCTTTTGATGTGGATGTTGGCTCGTTGTCTGGTGAGGATCGAGCTTTCTGGATTGCTGTTTTGTTGGTTTTCAAGGGTTGAAGGTGGAGTGGTTGGGTGAGGTGAGGTTAAGTGAAGTGTTGTTGTCAGCTTTCCCCGGGGCGGCGCGGCCAAGAGAAGAGGAAGCGTCGTACGTAGCCTCTTTGCCGAATTTGAGGCTTGGACTTGGCCCAGCGGGCTGAGGGAGGTACGGAGTAGGTAGTTACCTACTGGTAGGTGGCAGGTCCCTGGGGGGCCCCCGTTTGGACCAGTCAGATTGGCTAACAGCTGCTGGTGTGTGGGTAGGTCCTGGCTGGGTGTGCCGGTGTGGTGCTGCAGCTTCCTTGGGACCTTGGGGCGTGAGATCTTTTGGCGCTGGGCTCGCTTTCTGGGAGGAACTTTCCAAGTTTCCAGGGGTCGCAGGCGCGCGGGCGAGCAGAGGGAGAAAACAGGGTTCTTTCTGTTTCTTGTCTGCGGGAAGGGGTCTTCTTTGGTACCTCTCTCTTTCAACAGGTGTTCAGGTTTTTCAATAGCTGGATTGAGACAAGAGAAGTATTCGACGGATTCGAATTTCCCAACGGTCAGAGACGAGACGGGGACAGGTATTGTGATTGGTTTCCCTTTCCCTATCTTGCTCTCCCTGTCTGCGAGGTGGTTGAAAGCGAGAGCAGGGGCCTTTTTGCGTAGGGATACTGTTCTCTTGCAGTTGAATGTACGGTAAGATGAGGTTGCCTGTTTTTGATCGTGCAGCCTGCCACTCTTGATAAGGTTCTCGTTTACAAGGCAACACGAGATGATCAGACTCGAGAGCCGTGTGTTTGGCTGCTGGCACTTTTTGTCCCTTTTCTCGTCTTGTTTCTTCAGCAAGTATCTGTCTTGTGCTCTCTGGTGTCCCGTGCCCGGTATCCTGTATCTGTGCTGCTGTGTTCCTGTTCAACTCTCAAAGAAGACCAGCAGAAACAGGCTAATAGCCTTGTTCCTCACTTTCTGATGCGCGCAAAGAGAAGGGCGCCCCTCGCCAGGCTATGACCCTGTGGTGGAACCAGTGAGGAAGAAATGTCACTGGTCGCTTCAGGAGAGAAGGGGGAGAGAGTGAAGAAAAAGATGGGATCGAGTGTAAGAGGTTTATGAAACAACGTCCTGACACTTTCCGGGCCCGGGGGGCACAGGAGGAGGGACCCGAAAATGCACGGCCGATCTACCGGGTGCCACTACTCCAAAGGGTTTGTCTGTGTGCTCATCCGACACCCGTACACTACTCCGTACTTGAGCAGCAACCCCGTTTTTGTTTCGTTCGGTTTTGGTCGGAGTGGTTATGTTTGGGA